AAGCCCTTCCTTTCCTTTTTCTAGGATAAACCCATCCATTTGGCACAGACCAGAGGGCAGAATTTGGTTTATCAGTCTGATTTCACCAGACACTAGGAGAAACTCTCAAGTGGTCTTTTGTGGGGAGAGGGGCCTGGTAACTTGCAGCAGAGACACCACGAGCCTGTGAGATTAGTATCTCGCACAGCAGGATCTAGGAGCAGAGGTCTGCCCACAGCTGTCCTTGTCTTTTTGGGAAGGTTATTCTCTTCCTGTGCACATGGATGGCATGGCATTGCTTGATTACCTGTCAGCCTTGAGTGGAAATAAATACAGCATTTGATGTTGATTGTAGACTGTAGCCTTGCTGGTGTGTAATCAACGTTTCCTCTGCAGTCGTTTCATCACGCCTGATTTCACACTAGCACATGTGCAGGATTAAAATGTGGGTATCTGTCTATGTACAGACTGTCTGTTGCAGTAGATATGATTTAAGATAGCCATGTAAGTTGTGTTCTTCTAAAACACAATGAAGCATTATGAACTGTGTGTGGTAGTGTTTAAAAATTGGTCTAATGTTCAAAGAAGACAACAGTAAAATGTCTTTTACACGTTTAAGCTTCAGGTTTGAGCTGAGTGGTGTTCTATTCCTTGTTGTGCAGTGAAAAAAACCACAGCAGTCATATTTCAAGAAGCATTCAGAGATTTAATTTCTTCTGCTAAAACTGAAGCATACATAACTACTTTCAACCCACTATTTTCCTTTATAATTATGCAGGAGTAAACAGAACTACAATTCCCTCTCTAAAACTGAAAAGAAATTCTGTATCTTTCATTTAGCTCTTAGGAGAGACACAGATATTAAAAATTCTTCATTGTCACATTTGAGAGACATTCATAGGGATTTTTATGCAACATTCACTTGGACTTCTTAAAAGAGAAGGACATAAGAACAGTTTCAAAGCTTGTGTTACAACATGGGACTTTTGGAACATTATTTCCTGTTTTGTGGAAGTAAGGATCTGGCTCCTGTTCTGGTTCTTGCAGGTGATTCAAAGATTGCTCTGCTTTTTCCTTGCTTAGCTGATTTGCAGATTTCATTTCTTTAAAATATGTTGTTTAGCTGCTTCTATCACTCTTCTGCTTTTCTTATAGCAGTCATCCACTCTGCCAGCTCACCTAGTGTTAGCACTTGGTAGAAGAGATTTCTTTTCACCAGCTTCAGCCACCTGGAACCACCTTCTTTTATCTCTAAATTCCTTACATCTCCATAGTTTAAAAAATATTTTCAGAAGTTGCACCTGTTTTCTTTCACTTTTTATTCCTTGGTGTTTGGACATACTACACTTGACCAGGTTGCTCACGGCAAGTGGAATTTGAGCTAGATAATCTTTATGGTCTCTTCCAGCCCATTCTGTGATTTTCCTGAGAAAGCCAAGAGAGCACATGTTCTAAAATTGAATGTCACTACCTGTATTTCTTAACTTGTCCTGACTTCAAGAGATTTTAATAAAGTTGATGCTGCTTTATTGTTTACCAAAAGAGTGATTTTGTAAGATATATCTATCGTTCATAAGTCTATGGTGCTCCCTCTGTACTGATCTCTTAAAGTACTTGAAAATGTGAAGTTGATGTTTGTTCATTATCCAGAGGTCTTGGCACCTTCTGGCTCTGTGGAAATTAATGGGATAGAGGGCTGAGATGCACTTGATACTCTGTGACAGAGTAAGATTAATCTTCAGAAATAATTGAGAGGAAAGGAAGAAAACAATGTCTCCTGTCATAGAAGTATGGATGGTAGAGTACATAAATTGTTCTTAAGAGTGGATTAATACTGTCTATCTTGAGTGCTTTAAGAAGGGGACAACGTGCTGAGGTAAGGTCAATAAAAAAACTGATTAGAGAACTGACTTTTATTCTGAATTTAGTAATAAACCTTTGTAGATGAGATAACTGTTTGGCACATTATTTTTCTTTCAAAATGCACTCATAGCAGTGAAATACTGGATGTGCAGGCTTTGCTTAAAGCATTGCCACTAAAGCTGGAAGAAGCTAGTAGTTGTCTGTCTTGTAGAGAAAGTATCCTAATAGATGGAAAACTGGGGTTGAACCACATTGTCCCATTTTCCCAACCTATAGTAATTCATTTATTATGTAGAACATATAGTTTACTGCTGTTTAGATATCAAATTGCATCTACAGTAACGGTATAATAAAGGAAAATTTTATATGCTTCACATTGAACTTTGGATGGATTAGGTGAAACTTCATAAGTGGTTTCGTTTGAGTTGATTTTCTTCTCAAGTATTTTCATGGGTTGCAGGTGTTTTTTAAACAGCTTGATTTGCATTTTTTTTGCTGGTATGTCAGCTGTAGGGATGATCTAATGTGCTCTTTTCATTCACATTGGTAGTAAATATAAACACAGACAGTGATAAATTATTACTTCTGTTGCTTTTCAGTTTATTGGCCAGTAGGAGAGCCTAGCAGCCTAAGGAGGCATTATGTTGCAAATAACTCTCTCAAAGGAGAAGAAAAGTGTATTTCGTGCATTATAAAATATAGCAAGCAGTCAAATTAAACAAATACATCCACTCTAATGGCACTTCAAAACTGTGTAGCAAAGGAGTCTGAAATCTCAGGTAGAAAAATTTGCTTAAAATTTTGAGTCTTGTGTATTGAGATAGTTATTGCTTTTCTTGATTTTTCTATTTTTTCCCTTGCAATGCAAGGACAAATCTCCCACATTGTTAAAGTCAATGTGAATTTTGTCTTTGATTTGACTGGTGCCAGGGTTCCATCCCTAGCCTGTACAACTTATGGCTCTTCCACAGAGGTAAGATTTTATGTTTGCTTATAATTATGTAAATGTCTCTATTCATCCAAGCAACTAAATCTTGAGAAAGGTGACAAGCATATTGATTTTGCTTTCAAATTTTGTCTTTAAGGGTGGGAGTCTTTGGCACAGCGGATAAATTTCTCTGCATGATGAGTAGTCTCTGGCTTTTACAACACCCCTTGGTTCAGCTGACAGAAATTATTTTGATGTAGAAGCTTACTTCTGGAAAATGCTGATGGAGCTGGAGAAAAAACAACTCTATGGGAATGTGTCAGCGTGATGAGATTTGCATGGGAAAGCAGGCCAACTTCCACCCTGGCCAGCCAGCTGCTTGCTGGCAAGGTTCACCTATAGACATTTCTGAAAATGTATGTTTTTCAAATTATAGAGTCATAGAATGGTTTGGGTTGGAAGGGACCTTAGAGATCATCTTGTTACAGTCTCCCACCACAGGCAGGGACAGCTCCCACTAGACCAGATTTCTCAAAGCCCCATCCAGCCTGGCCTTGAACACTTCCAGGGATGGGGCATCCACAACTTCTCTGGGCAGCCTCTGACAGTGCCTCGCTGTCCTTAAAATAAAGAATTTCTTCCTTATGTTTAATATAGGACATGAAAATTTTTGTTTCTGAATTCCAGTTTGGAAGAAGAAAAGAATGATTTGGAAACATGAAAGCTTTCAGGGATCTCAGTTCTGTTGTCTGTGCAAACTCCTTTATGCAGTAACTGCAGTTTTCTTCTGGGTTATTGCTGTTAGTCTTGGAGCAGCAAAGGAGTGTTTAGGAAGTGAGTGTGCATGATTTGTTTTCTATTCTTATCTAAGAATTGTTGTCATGTCCCATTTATGCCTTGTAGCTGTGTTATTTAGACATAAATCCTTTGTGGGACTGATTCCCTGAGAACCATCTCAGATATGTTAAAAATTGCTTCCTTTTTTTTGCATCCTTTATAGCAGACATATAACTCTTTTAAACATGCTTTGGGCACAGGATCCAAAAGGAGTGTTTTAACTTGATTTTATCTTCTGTTCTGAATACTCAGTGATATTTTATGCTTGCATTCAGTTCCTTCTGGTTGATCATGCTTCATGAGTTCTTTAGTCACAGCATCGAGCAGAGTGGTAATTGAGGGTCAGCTCTGAAAATCCAAAGTTGTAATTGATGGTTATTCTAGTCCTCACTTAAGTGACTTGAAAGGTCTTGCAGAGAACAGTGAGGAAATGTCTGTCTCAGAAGTTCTTTCCTTGTATGTTTTTCATCAGACAGGAGAAACAGGTTGTATCTTTTCAGAAGACAGTTGTGTAACCTGATAGTAATTTTTCCTTTTTTCTTCTTGTGTTTTTGTGAAGGCATCTGTACATCTGTTTTTCTGTCTTTGTGATCAGCAGAAAATATGTGAAGCAATCTCCTTGGCAGATAAGAATCTGGACATGTCATTTCCAATCAGCTAACTTAACTTTCTGCGTTAGTATCCTGCAGATCCTGAAGAAGGCTAAACAAAACCAAAACCATACAGGAGAAACTGCTGCATGCATGTGACCAAGAAAAATGAGTTTGGGACAGCAGAAATCCTATAGGTCTCTGGTATTTGATAGATCACCTTCCCTGTAAATAGCTGTTAGACAGTTCACTTAGTGCACTAAAGAGAAGAGGTACATCATTTGCTATCTTCTGATCATATACAAGTATTTGTCTTCTCCCCTCGGGTAAGATTTTGGTTCCTGGTTATTTCAAAATGTAAGGCATTTTTCTTTTTGACTTTGGACTTTTCATCATGACTTTGGAATCAGGATTTGACTTACAGTGACAGCACTGTTCTAATATTCGGACAAAACAGGGAATGTATCAAAGATTTAATCTAAGCTAGTTTCAAAATACTATAAAATAGCCTTTTAAGTTAGATGAGATAAACATTCTTTGTTATTCTGGGGAAAAAAAAGTTTCAGTTCTGCAGCACAGGCAGTACTTGAGTGAAAAAAGAAAGTCTGGGACTTTTTAGGAGACATGTTAGGTAGAGAAGAGGTGGAAAATAACAAATACAGCCTCTGTTTTCTCATTGCATTTGTGTGTTATTGAGTAAAAATATTATTATAATATATAATTTCTGTTGATACAAAGAAGCATCTTTGTTTTACCTGCAATGTTGAAACTAATCACAGTATTGTTTTTGGTTCCTTTTATAGGTTGCCTTTTTGAAGATGTGAAGAACAAGATACCTGTGTTGAAAACTATTGTTAGATTTATTTTCAGCAGAAATGTGTTCAGTTAACTTCCAGTGGTGGAACTTCTAGAACAAAATCCCCAGGAAATACAAAAGAAAATGGGGTGGGGTGGGTGGGTGTATTCTTCATATCTGACTGTGTTTCAAAACCAAAGACAGAGCTGTCTTTCGTATCCAATGCATTCTTAGATGTCATTCTAAGAGTGACTTACCTGTCAGTCCTATGACATCCAGCTGGGGTGACTATTATGATACCAAAGGTACTTCACTACCAGAAGGAAATTCCATGTGTATCTTGTACTACCTTTACCAGTATTTCATAGGAATGTGTATATCCTTAGAGAAGTTCACAACTGGTAGCAAATATTTTTAAATGTCATGGATACTAATGTGAGTTCTTTACCTTTCTTTGTTCTGGTGAAGTTAGAGGCCCAACTTTAAAACATAAAATCTGTTTTTTTGTAAAACTTAAGTGTTTATCATGTTTATTGTTTCTGCATTAAGGTTTGTTAATGTAACAGAATGTTTGTTTAGTTTTGAAGTGTGCAAACAGTTTACCTCTGATTGAGAGTGAAGGAAGACAGTTTCTGCATTCCTACACCATATGTAGATTTAAAAAAAATGATAATGTTTTGGAGAATAAAGATTTTATGGTTATTTGGAATAATTATTATTATTATTTCAAGGAAAGATAACATGCTGTTTACTCATTAAGTGATCCTAACCTTAGCAAGTGAGCCTACAAAGTGTTGGACTCCTCGCTTTTTTACACATCCAAAGACAAGGAGCTGAGGCCTCACAGCACCCACTCTGGATATAATTTTTCTGTTATTATTTTAGTTTTCAGTATTGAAGGTTGAACAAAATTATTCTGACTTTTGTATTCAGGGACTAAATTATCTAGCTCCAAGATATTTTGTCTATGCACCAATGTTGAGTCATTTTATGAATAAAATATTTTTTCTAAATTAGTTTACCATTTGTTCTGCCTAATTTCTGTGACAGTTTCAGCTTCCCAGAGTATGACAGAGCAATTTGCAGAAGGAAATAATTCATATCACACCAAAATATTCCAGCTTTAAAATCTTTTTCAGCCTCTTTAAATGACCACTGTTATTATTTTGCATGTATGGATTAACCGTCTTCTTAACAGCCCCTATGGTACTGTGGTTGTGGCTCCAATAGTGGCTCCAATATCAAAATTTTGACTATAGCTGAACTTTCCCTTATTTCCCTCTCTGCAGCCACTTTCCCCAGTAGAGGGGCAAGAAGTTAGTGGGGGGTCACTGCAGGGACAGCCAAACTAAATTGGCCGAGGGGATATCCTGTACCATACAGCATCAAACACAGCAGTGAAAGTGGTGGTAGAGGGAGAAAGGGAGAGAGGGGTGTCTTCCGAGTTTGTGGTTGCTCAGAGAATACCTGAGCATTGGTCTGTTTGTGGGAGGTGATGAGTTACTGCCTTTGCATAGATTGGTTCAACTTTTGTTTGATTTTTTTTTCCTCTTCAGTTATTAAACTGTCTCAACTCACAGGTTTTCTTGCTTTTTTCTTCCTGTTCTCTGCCCCATCATGCTGGTAAAGAAACAAAGGCATGAGTGAGTAGCCAGATGGGTGCTTACCTGCTGGCCAGGGTTAACCCACTGCAACTGAAAATAAAGTTGTAAAATCCCCAAAAGAAAAAGAATAAATCTCTGTTCTAGCTGCCCTCCCATTTGGGGACATTTTCCTCCCCCCTGTTCTCAAATGGCCATAGTTACCTGTCTGTGTCTGTACCAGCAGCAGGGCAATTTGACACATTTAGTGTTGTTTTTACCTTTCCTTGATTCTGGCTCTGAGCCCTCTACTGACATTTAACTACTGAAATCCCTGGAAAATATCAGACCATGTATGATAACATATAATTGTCTCAGATGTCTTTCCATTTGAAAAAAGATTGTTTTGGCCATGTTCAGAAAATAAATGATCACATGCTCTCCCAGGAATCAGGCAATATATTATTCAGAACTCCTGTTTCTGAAGACAACTTTATTTGGTCTTTTTTCTCCCCTCATATTTCTTGTGTTGCCTTTCCAACTGAGCCAATAGTGGATGTGAGGTTTGACAGCTTCAGTTGACACTTTCTTGAAATCTCTCTGCTTTATAAAAGCAAAACTTGGCCTTTGTTATCTTTGCAGTGAACCATGGACTCCTATAAAAAATGGACTTATGTTCAGAAAGACTGTTGAGTTTCCCTCACTTCTTCCTTGACCCTTGACCACCACTGCTCTTGCCTCCATTTCTCTCTCTGTTGAATAGCATGACATTTTATTTTGTTGTTTGCTTATTAACATCAGCATTTTGAGAAGTAGTGTAATTGCAAAGTACAATTAGTTACTGGGTTATTTGCTTTGCATCCAGAATTAGTGGTACATCTTAGTCTAGCTTAAATACCATGTTTGGGTACAATTGTAACAGAAAGTTTGTTTAGTTTTGAAGTGTGCAGACAGTAGCTCCATGAAGATGGAAAAGCAAGCACCAGAGTAGGGGCTGGCCTAGAAGCTGTGCCCTTACAAGACATTTGGCCCTTCTTATTGCTTGCCCTCTCTCCCCAGCATTTTCATCTTTCAGTCTGCATTTCTCACTGCAGAAGCTATAAAGCTAATTTTTGCTTTCTGCAGTGCCAAGCACGATGTCAGTCCTGAAGTTATTATAATTAACCAGTGATCCCAACCTGCATTAACTGAGACGTGCTTCCTTTCCTAATATGGTTACCACTGTATGGCACCAAGCAAATATTAAAAATATTAGTTTTAATTCTAATATGTTAATGGATAATAAAGCTGGCTGTTGCTGTGGTGGAGAAAACATGCCTGTCCATCAGACCAGTACTGTACTTGCCATTAGCAACAATAGACAATAATATTATTGCTGTCATTAATGGGTCACAGGACAGTTACATTTGTGTTGGTCTTGCTGTTTCTTCTTAAACAGGGTGACCATTTAACTGGAATAGTAAATTGGCACACCAAACTGAGTCCCAGTGGGGTTCTTTTAATTCCAAAATAGGGTGGCTTTTTCATTTTGTTTAAATCCCTCCTAGATTAGGTTAGGATAAAATGAATAATAATAACAAATGGGTTATTCAGGGGGCTGTACTGGCCTTGCCCTGTTGAGTTGGAGGACAAGTTCAAGTTTACCTCCATGTTACTTTTCTGTGTAGCGAAACTTCCGTATATAAGGAGCAACTTCAATTAAAATTTACAATAGATGATTCTGCTTCCAAACATTCTGGCTTTAAATGCAAATGCTTTCCAGTTACTTTCTCTTTGCTTTACTGCCTTCATCTTCATTCCTCCAGAACATCACTTTGTGGTTTCAATTTTAGACTTTGTGTCCTATCATTCCTCTCCTAGCCACCTGTGCTTCATTATAAATGACAGGTAACTTGCGTGTCGTACTGCTTTAGCTCATCAACCTCATTCTTTTTGGTTTACCTCCATGGGTTTTTTGCGACTGTTGGATCACTGTCATAGAAGAACTGCATAATCTGCAGATGCACAAATTATGGAGACGCTGAGTAAATCTTGTCTTTTGAAACAGCTTCAGTTTATTCATTCAGAGCAGGCTGAATTGCCTCATAGCAGATGCCAGCAAGCATTTTACAGCGTTCACAGAATATCAGGAATTTTGCAGGTCTGCATGAAAATGGCTTAGTAGTAACATCTGTGTCTTTTAATACCTGAGTGTGACTGTAAGTGTTGCATAGCATGACATTTTTCTTACTGTGGATAGCAATTGCTGCATCCAGATCCCACAGTTCTGTGGTTCCGTGTTTGGCTGCTGTTCTCTTAACATGGCACTAATGTTAACCTAGTGCCCTTCATGTCTAACCTTAGTGTCTTAGTGTCTTAGTAGGCAGTAACCCTAACCATAAACCTAATCCTAACCCTAAAACACTAACCCTAACTCAAGATGGCGGCGCCCAGTGGTGGTGTGCTTGGGTAGACAATGTGGTGGCACCCACGTGGTCAGGTGATTTGGTCCAATATGGCAGCCATGATGTACTTCCAAAACAATATGACGGCGCCCATGTTGTGCCTCTGGGTGCTTTTGGTGGTGCGCGGTGTGGCAATGTGCCGCGTGGGTGGCATGTGACACGATTTGGGAGGAAAATGACGGCGTTGGGCGGGTGTGTGTTTCTGGAAGAAGATGGTGGTTCCCGTGGCACGATGCACTTTGGGAGAAATATGGCAATGCTCATTATTGGCGGCAGGGTGGCAGTGCGTGGCGTGGTGGTTTGGTGTGTTCGGGGGAGTATGAATCTGGTGGGGTTATTCAGGCACAGAATGGCGGTGTGGAGGTTGTTAGGTGGTAAAATATCAGCGGCCATACTGGTGACGTATTTCCAGAACACTATGGTGACGCCCATGAACTCCCGGGGAATTATGGCAGTGCCCATGTATTTCCAGATAAATATGGTGACGCCCATGTATTTCCAGAAAAATATGGTAGTGCCCTTAAATTTCTGGGGAAATATGGTGGTGCCCGTAAACTTTTGTTAAAATATGGTGGTGCCCAGAAACTTCCGGAAAAATATGGCAGCGCCCATTACTGTGGTGCCAGAATGCAGCGGTGCGCTTTGGTGGCGTGCTTTGGCGGCAGCGCGCGGCGTGGCGCGGCGTTTTGGGACCGCTGCGCGGGTTGGTTCTGGGAAAATATGGTGGCGTACATGTGCAGAGGTGATACGGGATTAAGACGGCTGCCATGACGTATTTCTGGTAGAAATGGCGGTGCCCGCACTGCCGGTGCCCCATGCTGTGGGGTGGTGCGCGGGAGACCGCCGGCACTTGGCATTGGGTGTGGGCTTACGGGACGGTGTTTTTGGTGTGGTGCGGGGGGCGATGTGTGGGTAATTTGGTGCTTATGTTACTAAGCATTTTTTTAATTTTGTTTATGAATAATTCCGTTGAAAATGAGGTGATGTAATTTTGGGAAAAATGGCGGCGTTGTTTATGTCACGGGTGACGTGTCATGAGGGTTAGGGTTAGGGTTAAGGTTAGGGTTAGGGTTAGGGTTAAGGTTAAGGTTAGGGTTAGGGTTAGGGTTAGGGTTAGGGTTTGGGTTTGGGTTAGGGTTTGGGTTAGGGTTAAGGTTACGTTCAGGGTGTGTGTTAGGGTTGGCTTAGGGGTTAGGGTTAGGGTTGGGGTTAGTCACCTCTGTGTCTCACTGCCGCAGGCTTTATTCCCCTCCCGTTGTCTTACACATGGATTGTGCAGGTCAGTTCGGTGTTCTTAGTGATAGATGCTTCTTCTACCTTCTTTTATTGAGTGATATAAATGTTTATCTATTTGTCAGCGTAAATGTTAGAAAACTATTTCAGTATATAGAACACCTACAAGTCTATCTTACATGGTTTTAATCACTTCCTCAAGACTGTAAAGCATTTAAGTATTTACTTTCTTTTGTGATAAGTGGTTTTTCTGTGTCACAGGCAGGATGGCACAGCTGCAGATGGGTTCTGCCATGTGCTTTTGGCAGCAGCACCAGCCAGGGGCTTTCAAAACAGACTTTACACCTTCATTACTGACACTGGGTTATTGCAACCCGAATGGGCTGGGCATCTTCACTTCTAAATTTCTGACTGTATCATAAGACTTATGACTTTCCCATCACCAACAAGGTCATTTTCTCAGCAGTGCCGCTGGGAAAAAAGTCCCTGTTTGGCCATCAGCTGAGTTACACAGATGAAGGGCAGACCATCAAACACAATAAAGCTGATGTAGCTGTCCCAACTTTAATGGAGTTGTTGCCAATTTATATCAGCCAACGATGTTCAGTGTAACAGGAGGGAGATGTTGTCTCTTGCCTTCCCCTGTCAGTCCCGTTTC